GAGGGGGAGGGAGAGGGAGAGGGGGGCTGGACAGGCGTTTTCCCACCCGTACCTGACTCGTTCCACAGACAGAGGCGCGGGGAGGTAGCGCTGCCCCTGGCGTCCCGGGCCGTCACGGTCACTATGTAGTAGTTGTACATCTCGCCGCCGGACACTGTGCAGTGCCACTGACCCGCCAGAGGTGTGCACTGCTCCCTCAGCCCCTTCTCAAAGATGCTGTCACACTGACCCCTCGCCCTGCAGGGGGCGATACACAGTGCTTGGTCCTCGGCATCATCATCACTCAAAGTTTTCTATCACTCGTTTCACCCAGCAGTTCCTGAACCAAGACTCGGGCCAAAGTGTCTCCCTGGTGACAGGTGACCAAATGATCAACAGACCAGGTGTCCAGGTGGCCTGATATCTAGGCAACCAAACACCGGGTGTCCAGGTGTCCTGATATCTAGGAAACCAAACTCCGGGTGTCCAGGTGGCCTTGTATCTAGGCAACCAAACACTGGGTGACCGGTGTCTAGGCCACCAAACACCGGGTAAACAGGTGGCCTGGTATCTAGGCAACAAAACACCGGGTGACCAGGTGGCCTGGTATCTAGGCAACAAAACACCGGGTGACCAGGTGGCCTGGTATCGAGGTGGTCAATTATCAATGTCCACCTAATTGAGGGCCAAATCTCTTCTCCCACTAATTTACAGTGCAAACTGTGGGGCATATGGAGATCAGGGTAAGTGGACAGATAGCGAAGATGCAAAGGAAGGGAGCACCAGCGGTCTTGACCACCTGATTACCATCAGCCGGATGTTGGCAGCCACACACAGAGCTTCCTCTGCAGCAGGCTGGCGTTCCGATCTCCCCAGGAAGGAATAAGAAAGCCAGACGGGGGCGAGCTGATGCTGAGTTTTCATATCTGATCGGGCTGTAATCAGATGTTCTCAGAGCAGGCGATGCGTGTGGTTCTCACGCACACAGCAGAGGCCTCCTCACCCCCTCGACTGGCACGTGCCGGCACGCACCCCCCCCCAGGCCAGAGACACCCCACTGCCAGGTCTGGCCCCGAGGGCCCCACGAAAACCGGACTCTGGCATCACACGTTAGTCTGATTGGAAGTGGTGGCGGAAATGTCCCCTTGTTTTCTTTCACGCAAAACAGTAACGCGTGTTGAAGTCCCAGCTCGAGGAGATCAGCGTCCAACAGCCACCAGTCCGAAGCCAGGCCATGGGAAACTCAAGGAGATGATGCTAAAATCCCGCTGGATACAGTGCAGTACCTAGAGCACGTGCCACAAGCCTGGCTTGTGCAGAACTGGAGAGAAGCTGTGTTGTAACACCTGAGACACCTAGACCCTGTGCAGCCCTGCAGTGGATCCTGTTGAGAGACAAGGGAGAGGAGACAGGCAAGAGGGGCAGGTGCACTGCAGTATGGAAGACACTACAAGCAGGGGGCTGACTCACTCGTCAACGTTCAGTGTGTAGGTGGTGTTCAGGTGGGGCTCCTCTCCGGGCTCCCAGTAACACGTGATGTTGGCGCGGTGCATGAGCACGCAGTACTGCACCCGGGGCCAGGCAGGGGGCGCTGTAAAGTGGAAACACACAAGCAGGGCCACAGCCTTAAAACCCCCTCAATGTTCAGTAACAATAAAAAGGCATTGCTGGGGTTCAATCTCTGTGTCATAGAAGCAGATTCACTGGGGAGCTTCTGGAAACACTGGGATCGGTCAGGATGACCTCCTCTCGTATTGACCCATCAGTCAATAGATCCGTTTTTAGTTTCATGCAGCTCCTGTCGTGGTGAAAGAGAAGCGGACGCAGGTGGCGTTGAGTCGCATCCAGAGAGCTGAAGGTGCAGGGGATCTGCCAGTGTCGCACCCCGATGTCGAGTCTCCAGTGCAGCGCAGTGGGAGAGCGTTCAGCAGCAGCCAGACCGGGCCGGACCGGGTGGCACCGGGCCCGAAGGAGTTGGAGAAAGCAGAGGTGGGACGAGAGAGCGAAAGACAGACAGAAGAGCGAGAAAGAAGAGAGAGAGATGACGGGGGGGAGGGAGAGAGAGAGAGAGAGAGGCGTGGTGCACGTTGATGGTTTTCTTCATGATGAGAGAGATAAGCCAGCGAGAGAGAAGGAAGTGAGAAGCCAGACCAGCAGAAAAGCGGCCCTGCAGCTCCACTCCCCCGCACTGCACGGCTGCTGGAGCGCTGATCTCGAGACATCACTCCCTGTGCAGGGTTTCCTCCAGGTGTTTCAGCACTTGATGACTTCATCACAGGACTTTCAGACTCTCTTGATTTGTAGCACAGATGAGACGAGGCCGCCAAGGTAATTGCACCCTGGATCCCATTCAGAACGTTTGTGCAAGATCTAATGGAATCAAACCTGCTTCTCCTGCTCTTAGCCCTAAACAAACCACCACCTCACTGGTGTGGAGGTCGTTCAGCCCATCTGGACACCACAACTGTGCGCAACGGCGTCAGCTCAGACTTACACAGGCCCGGATCCCCCGCTCTCACTGTGGAACAGAAAATAAAGCACCCGTGTACAATCCACACCACATTTCAAAGATTCGGAGCCGAGAGCTGGAAAAACCGACGCAACGGCGCAAACCACTCCTGTAACCACTTCAGAGGCAGCTCGTAGCACCCGGGTTGTTTTCCGTTCATCCTTCAGAGTGACAAGGTGAACAGAGGGCAGAAACATGCGGCGACAAGGCATGAAGAAAAAAACAACGACCTGTGGGTGTGTCAAAGCTCCATCAAGCGTCAATTATTACCGAAACCAAAGAGATCCAGTTCCCAGTCGGGAAGACAGACAGTTCGGACTAGGGATTGAGACCAGGACTAGGACAGACAAAGGAAAGTGCAGGGCCTGCCCAAACACCACAGAGACCCGGGTGAGAAGAGATACAGGAGTGTGAGTAGCCAAGTCACTGGGCCAGGTCCAAACCAGAGGGTTCTGCCTGGGATAGGTACTGGGAGACTGAGTGAACCAGTACGACCCCGTGCCGCCCCCGCAGCGGATCCTGTTAAGAGGATCCTCTGTGATCCCATGCATCACAGGGACCGTGCCAGCGCTGGCCTGCTCCTACAGAGGAGTCTGTGTTTAGGTGCCCTGGGGCTGTGGAGCTCCTCCGCCCACAGCCGTGAATTCGGGGCCACTGGCTACGGAGATCTGACGCCAGACGGAACGAGCCGAGAGCAGGGGTTACCTGGATCAGCGGCCACACAGGCCCAGGCCGTCAGCATCAGGACTCCCGGGATGCAGGAGGTCAGCCGTGGCATCGCAGGGGAACCACACTGGCACTCGTCCAGCGGGACAGGAGCACAGCGCCACAGAGTACGGAGATCCAGCTGTCTGAAGGCAGCAGCTCCGGGCGCCGAGGTGTGTTCTGTGTGCTGACAAGATTGCAGAGCAAGGCGGGCTGAATGGGCGGCGAAGCTTCTGGTGGTGCACCAACATGGCAAACAGTCTAATCTGCATCTTCATCTAATCTGCTGTTTTTCTCTCTTTCTGCAAGTTACCCAATCTCAGAGAGCCCGGCCCGTTTCCTGCCTGCGACAGCATGTGCCAGACAGCTCTGCCTGAAAAACAAGCCGGAGCCACATCAGAGAGCAGCAGGGAGGGGCTGCACAGCCACAGGCACCTGCGGAGTCCCCGTGTGAGCCCCCAGCTCCCGTCCACACATGTCCGCTCCCCGACTCCACATCCACACCCTGACACCTTGTCCACACCCTGGCTCTGCCCCGCAGAGAGCTGTGTGCTCAGGAGTCTGGGTCGCGACAGAGGGCTCGGCTCACCTGGGCTGCCCCAGGACCAGCGCCAGACCCGGCCCTGGGTGCACGCTTGGCTCGAACCCGGCACTGCCCAGCCAAACCAAAGGGTGAAAGCAAGCATACAGTACAAGAGACTGTTCGGCGATTGTACAGCATGTCACTGCCTCATGACTTCCTTGTGCTTTCTCCTGTATTTCATCAAACGGGGGTTTAGTAAGTTCAACCTGTTGCCTCCGGATTGCAGTCGCTCTCCCAGGGACAGTGGCAGGAGCAGAGAGGAGCTGCTCAGAGCTCAGGAGGATTACAGCACGCCTGAGGTCACCCCTGGCACAGGGCCGGCCATCATGAGCTTCAGACACCCTGTGGGTCCACTGCTGTCGCGTGCAGATGTGCCTCCCGCAATCCAGACAAATTGATTTCTAGAACATGTTTTTATTAAATGTTCCTGTCTGCTCAGCCTCCCTAGCTACTGAGCACACTTGTTTCTTGCTTAATTACGTATTTGTTTCTACTCCTCCTCTCTGCGGTTTCAATTGCAGAAATGTAATTTGTAAGTTAACATTTGCTAGAATTTTGAAGCAATGGAGATCCTGTTTATCTTTATTTATTGTTATTCACGTTCCCGTTTTTGAATTAAAAAAAGGTAAAAATACATGTTATCGTTGTAAAATGTGTGCTTCTTGTTCTTGTTTGAAACTTCTGTGTTCTTCAAAGCTGGTTAATAAGTTTTCTAGCTCTATAATTATTTTATTTAGTTGTTCTAAATAGTAAAATCAGTTTGTGTTTCAGACCTGATAACAGTAGTTTAAGCGCAAATCATGATCGTGTGGGGCACCTTCCCAAGATCTTGCCGAGAGCCCCCAAAAGCTACTGCAGCGACACTGCCCCCAAGAATCAAAGACCGCTCGCGCGCCTGCATTCGGACTTCAGATTGCAAACAACAGATGTGTGTGTCTCTGTCCGCTCTCCGACTGGACCGCTCTCTGACCAGACTATTCTTGGTCCGCTCTCCGACCGGACCGCTCTCTGACGGGTCCGCTCTCCAACCGGACCGCTCTCTGAATTCGCCGCCGGAGGCCAAGCGATACGACCGAGTTTTGTCTGTGCAACAGCTGCCCGAGCGAAAGCATCCTGTGTTCACAGCCTGCAGTGAGGTGATGGACACAGCTCGGCGCAGCAGCGTGCAGCACCGTGTTCTGCCACGCACACGGCCACGGTGACACGCAGACTGCACGCCCTCGTGTGCGTGTCGTCACGTGTCCGTGGGAGCCTGCTCCTTGTCCTCCCAGCCGTGCGCCTGACCGGGGCAGCTGGCTCCGCACACCCGTGACACCCGCTGCTCCCGCCGGGTCTCGGAACAGCTGCGGAGCGGGGCAGCCACGCCCGGGAGATTCGGCCCCGAGCGGAAAATGTCTCTCCCCGGCACGAACCCCTCGTGTCTTTTGTAATCGGGCGCTACATTTCCGCTGCATGAAAAAGCACTAACGGCCAGCGGTGAACTGAAGCAGCCGGCCTTGCCCGCAGAGCGCTCATCATCGGAGGCGCGCCGCTGCCCGCGAGAGAAACCATCGTTCAAGCCTGCCTCGTCATGACGAGAAACAGTTCTCTCGTTACTACAAGACAGTAGTTTATCGCGTGCTTTATGGGATTATCACGCGATGGCACACCAACTATACAACTCCTACATCATCGTGAGCTGACTGCGATCTTGTTTAATGATACGCCTGACTGTCATTGTGCTTCTAATGACTAATGACATCAGCTTAAATCGCAACATTTCCTTCTGACTAAACCCCAGGACGCGTCACTGGCCCACTGTTCCCGCTGAGCGTCTAGGTGCTTCATCGCTCAGGTGATCGTGTGTAGCGCGTAATTACGCGATGATGTACCATCTCGCAGTAATGAGATAATAGCTCATGCGAAGGCTGCAATGGGACAGTTTATTCCCCGCTGAAGAGAGAAGAAAGGAAACAATGTTTCGGCTGCGGAGCCTTCTTCGGGTGTGAGGGCTCGAAGAAGGCTCCACAGCCGAAACGTTGTGTTTTGTTTCTTCTCTTTTCAGCAGGGAAGGAGATAATGTACCATGAGATACACATGAAATCCGCCCTCGGTGGCAGCGAATCGGAGAGTCGGGGCTCAAAGTCCCGAGGCGGCGCAGGACAGCTGAGGCTCCCGGCCCGCCCCCCGCCCAGCCCGCCCAGCCCGCCCGGGCTCCACTGGGCTGCCACCTTCCCAGATCACACCTTCGGAGTCTTTCTTTCAGTTTCAGTTCTTTCAGCAGCTGAGAGAAGCGCACTTGCTGTCTGCATTCGGATTATTAACTATATGGAACAAGTAAGAGGTTTATTCCATGCTGACAAAAAGAAGAAAGAAAACACAACGTTTCGGCCGTGGAGCCTTCTTCAGGTGTGGTGGCGCAGCTACCCACCTGAATTGTTAACTATATGTCGCCTAGTGCAGATGCACTGACTGACAAAGTTAGTTGTTCCCCATTCAATAAATCATCCTGGAAAGTATTGCTACTGTGCCTATTTTGAGTTCATTTCGAAGCCTCAGCGATGAATGATGAATTATCTTTCGGAAAGCTCCGCTTTGCAAGTGAGCGCTCCATCGCGAGTGGGACACCTGCGGGCTCAGCTGTCTCCGCGGGACAGACCGAGCTTTTAGAAGCGCGGCTCCGTGACGTGGATGCGGGACAGAGCGAGACAAGCGCCCAGCGCGAGCTGGCCAGCTGCGCGTGACCCGGCTGGAGCCCCGGGAACACAGCGCGCGCTAACCGCACCGGATCATCACTTCTGATCACATCGAACAGCGCCTCCGAATGAGAACAGCAACAGGACATGAAACAAATCTACGAAATTTGGGGTCTTTACAGCTGTCAGTTTAAAATGTCTTCAATATTAATGTTTCTTTATTAGCCCTATACAATTTCTTACATTAGGAATTCCCCATACCCGAGCTTGCTCTCCATGAGACACAGACAGGGAGAGAGCCTGGGGTCAGAGTGCAGGGTCAGCCATTGTACAGCACCCCTGGAGCAGTTGGGGTTAAGGGCCTTGCTCAGGGGCCCAACGGAGTAGGATTCCTCTGCCGGCTGCGGGATTTGAACCGGCAACCTTCCACAGGCGCAGATCCTGAGCCACAGAGCCACCGCTGTCTGTAAGAGGCCAGGGACGAGCAAAGCGGTTTAATTATTGCGATGTTTTATGATGGCAACAATTAAATCACATGCGCAGCGCTCAATCAGTTATCGCTTTAGAAATCACTGAGTCGGAATCTGTGTTCTGAGCTACACCGCATCTTTGCCAACGCAGTCCGCAAACCCACTTGAGCTTTTGCTGCAGTTTTAATATTTTATCTCTTGATCTTGCTTGTTCTCGCCTAGTAAAGGCAGCGTGCATTTGAAACGGTTTTCCCCCTTTTTTTTAAAAAAAAGAAAAATATTTCTCACCCCGTTCTGCTGTTTTCTCCAAATGTCCCCGACGCACACTTGCCACCACAGCGCGCGACGAGCTCGAGGGAGGAGGCGTGCTGTCACGAGCCGGGGAGCCTGCTCGTTCCCGGGTCTGCGCCTCCGACTCGGGCTGGGAGCCGCGATGCGGGTTATATACGCGCTCCGCAGCCAGATCGCTCCCTCACGCCGCCCACCGCCGGCGCTCCTGCAGCTCCGCTCGGAACGTCTACCCCCTGCATCTCGCGCCTCCTCCTCCTCCTCGTGGGGTGCGAGCGCGCCGTGGGGCTGGGGTGCTGAGCTGTTACCGGGGTCTCAGCTCGTTAGTTAGTTAGCTCGCTGGTTAACGAAAGGTTTCGACAAGTCACACGTCCATAAAAATGAGTCAAATAAGTAGCACCTCCCATAAAAGTTTGAAGTTCTTGTTTCAAATCTCTCTTGACTGAATTACTAGTCTAACCTTGATTTTTGGTACACCCCGCAGACAGCTGTACTGTCGGGGCTCCTGCGAGCTGGGGCCCGGCGCTCCGGAGGCTCCGGTAGGTCCCTCACACCCGCCGCGGAGACGGAACAGACGGGTCCGTCTCCGCGGCGGGTGTGAGGGACAGACGGGTCGAAACAGGGGCCGCTGAAGGCCGAGTACGACGGTTGACTAAAAATCTCAGTTTCGTTTTGGGTCCTGCGCTGCCGCGGCCCCTGTTTCAACCCAGCCCCCCGCCCCCTGAAGGACCCCCGGTCAATGTCCTCCTGGCGCGGGAGCTCGCTTGAATCCCGGGAAGCGCGCACACAGCGGGCCTGGTTAGTGTCTGCAGCTCCGGGGAACGCCTAGACCACCCCGTCTGAAGCTTCGGATTTTGTGTCTTACTCAGTGCGCAGTTAATATCCAGAACAACATCAGGAAAAAAAAAATCAACCAACATTGTATGTGCAAAAGTCAATTTCTCAAGGTGTAACGCACATAGGATCTACATTTCTTTTGGCAGGACTGTGCAATATGTCCACTACCTCAGCTAAAATTTCGAAAGCGATTTAACGTACAAAAGAATTAATCTAAATAAATATTATTTATCAAATGCATCAGTCTGCATGTTTTTTTTTAAATGAAGACAGTAGCTGGAATGGTTTTCTCTGGCTTCTAAAAAAATAAAGTTAAACTAAAAATAATCTTTTTATTTTCCTATTGCGTTGACTTCTGGCAGTTTTGGTCTATTTACGGTGTTCATGGAGAATAGTGTGGTTTTGCACTTTTTTTGCACACTTCCGGTTGACAAGACTCTCTGCGATCTCCACGCCATCAGGAGAAAACTGTCGACTGCACGGGCCAGCTCAGAGACCCTTCCTCGATCCAAGAGGAGTTAGAATTTGCGGACCGACAGCTCTTTGCAACGTTTGATTCAACTTTCACGCAGATGGGCTCCCCGCGGTACAGCTCCGTGCAGCCCCGGACAGGGCTGCGCTGTGTCCTCTGCCGGTAGAGCTCGGACCTTCGACCAGGCAGAGGTGAGGAAGGGTGGGGAGCAGGAGGAGGTACAATTCGGCGCAAGTGCCTCCAACCCCCCTCCCTTGCGCTCCTCTTCTCTCTCTTTAGAGAACCGGAGAAATCGCCGCTAGCTGTCGGTGGACACTCAGTCCTGAGCCGCCGACAGTATCGCCATGAATTCCCCTTAAAATTGTTTGCAATGTTCTCAACGTTTACGAAATACACCAAGAGGCATTGAAGATAGCAAACATGAGCGCTGGAGCCGGCAGTCTTGTGCGTTTTTAATGCCTCTCAGCACAGGGGAGACCAGCGGCGCTGCAGTCTGCTCTCTGCTAGGCTGTTAGGAGAGAAACAGTCTGAATTCCACAGCTCCCGCGATCCACAGGGACCCAGCGAGAGCGCTGGATCTCCTTCAGCTCCGAGCGCCGGACGAGCCGAGCGTTTTTAAGGAAGAATAATTAACACAGGAAATGAGATCCCTCGCCCCTGCGGTTATGAGTGCTGCCAATTTAACGATTTAATAGCGCTGCAAATGAGGTTTTAATGAGTAAATGCACGCAGCCCTCCTCCTTTTTAATATGCTAAGTGTATTGAAATGCAAGAAGTAAAAATAATCATTAAAAAAAGACTCGTTTTCAGGTTGCAAGCTGCAGCTGCAGGGCCAACCCCACTCCTGCACCTCAGTGTCTCGGCTCTGCCGGACATCCAGGTGTGCCCCACGACTGGCACACGGAGAATCTGGGCACCCCCTGTCCCGCAGGGCCACAGGCTTCCCTGAGCCCCTCCTGTCTCTGACCACATACCTGTTGCTTTAGCCCTCAGTCTGCAGCAAACTGCCCAGTACCTGCTGCCCAGTGGGAAAGACGCCCTGTGGAGAGTGAGGAACATGGGGCTGTTCAAAGGCATTGATGCCTCCATGATCTTGTGGATCACTGACTACCTGACAGGCAGACCACAGTCTGTGAGACTGCAGAACTGTGTGTCTGAACAGGTAGTGAGTAACACAGGGGCTCCTCAGGGGATGGTTCTTTCTCCGTTCCTCTTCACCCTCTAAACCTCGGACTTTAAATACAACTCATAGTCATGCCACCTGCTGAAGTTCTCCGATGACTCTGCAATTGTGGGATGTATCAAGGGTACAGAGGACTGGTCAGCAGCTTTGTGGAGTGGTGTGGGGAGAACCACCTGCAATTGAATATAACAAAGCCAAAGGAACTGGTGGTAGATGTCAGGAGGAAAAAGGTCAAACCTACTCCCGTCTACATCCATGGGAGAGGCGTGGAGATGGTGGACTCGTACAAGTACCTGGGAGTGCACATCGACGATAGACTGGAATGGTCTAAGAACATCGAGGCCATATATAAGAAGGGACAGAGCCGACTTTACTTCTTGAGGAAGCTCAGGTCCTTCAATGTGTGTAGTAAGATGCTACATATGTTCTATCAGTCGGTGGTGGTGAGCGCCATTTTCTACGCGGTGGTATGCTGGGGCTCTGGGATTAGAGCAGGGGATTCTAACAGGCTGAACATCAGGAGAGCAAGCTCTCTCACTGGGTCTTGCCCTGGACCGAGCCATCCTGAAGGCAACACGCATCATGAGACGGGACGCCCCAGTGTGGGTAAGGGGACGGGCGAGGAGGGGCTTCACGCCCCTCTGCTGCTCCACTGCAGCGAAGACCTGAGTGGGCTGACAGAGAGATCACACACAGACCAGCGGGCACGGACTGCAGGGTGACACCCCCCCAGGACACCCAGGACCTTCTCAAGACTAGTAGAAATCTCCGGGGGTCGACCTGCAGAATAATGACAGATCCACAACTGCACACAGCCCACACCCCAGTCCCCTCACACCACGAACACCCTGTTTCTCTCCATCACCTCACCCCCCATCTCCCTATCCCCCTACATTCTCTACACCCCCTACCCCATTCCTCTCACACCTCACC